GTCATTTCCCTCGAGTGTCATCAGCCTCATAGTAGATGGCACTTTGCCTGAGGCCCCGGGAGGTCGCCAGAGCCGCAGATCTGTGTGCCATGTCCTTGTTCCTCGCCTCTCCCTGCTTGCTGTGTGAGCTCCCAGAGGCCTGAGCAGGCTGGGATGAGCTGCAGGCATCTATTTTACCACTGCCCAGGGCCGGCTCTGCATCGCGCCAGGAGCTGAGTGCAGGGGGTGTGGGAGGAACAGCAAAGGGACGTGTGCTGTCACAGGACAGGGGACATAGTGCGTGCTGACTCGGGATGAGGGAACCAGGGGTGGTGTTGACCATTGATGGCTGGAGACCCGAAGGCAGGGGTGGAACAGAAGAGGGGACAAGGACCTTCCTTGAAGGCTGGGAGAGCCACCCAGGAATAGGCCTGTGAGTGACAAAAGTTTTCTTTCTTTTTCTCTTTGTTTTTGAGTCAGGGTCTTCCTATGTAGTTCAGGCTGCCCTAGAACTCACTATGGACCCCAAGCTGACCTGAAACTTGTGGCAATCCTCCTGCCTCAGCCTCCTGAGTGCTGGGATCACAGGTGTGTGCCACCGTGCCCTGCTGATGAAAGGTTCCTTGTATTTGCAGAAGCACTGCTAAGCAGCCCCTCAGCCCCCAGAAATGTGACCGTGGAAGAACATTACGTTTTCAGATGGGACAACAACACGATCACTGAAATCAGTGTCAGAATCGTCAGGGCAGAAATCATTGCCCAGCCGACAGGTATCTGGGAAAGGGCAGTGAGGAGGCTTCCTCCAGAGCATTCCCTTCCTGTCTTTCCTCAAGTCTCGTATCTGAAACATGCAATGAAGCCAGCTTTGTTTCTTCGGTGTGTTTCTGACTCCATCTTCACTTTGGTTTATTTCTAGGAATACTCACACAGAGATTCACAGTGAAGTTTTTAAACCGTAACAGTGGCAACGAAAAGGAATTATCTGGAAACCCAGGTAGAGGACTGTGTGTGTCACGCGTCCTGCAAAGAGATGTTAGTGCAACACTCTGGCACTGTGCCATGCTTGTAAGAAACTCTCCCCCAGTTTAGTTTGTTCTACTGACCGGTTTCTTTTTCTCTTCATGTTTTTCCTCTTTGAGGTGCTGGGGAGTAAACCCAGGGCCCCTGCACTGAGCTACATTCCCAGTCCTTTTTTTAATCTTTTATTTTGAGACAGGGTTTTGCTCAGTCACTAAGATGGCCAGGCTGGTCTTGAACTTTCCATCCTCCTGCCTCAGCCTCCCAGAATGCAGGGATCACAGGCCTGCGCCACCACACTGGGCTTGGCCTGCTTCTTTATTCTTTTCTGATAGCAACTTAATTGCTTTACATAAGCTGTCATCCAGAGTAACTGACAGTTCTTTCTCTTAGCTCCCGGTCTTTGGACCGAGGGCCTGCCTTTGTGACACTGGTAGGATTAGCTTCTCAAGAGGAATGAGCTCCGATGGCGGGTTCTCCATGGGGAGCCTGGGTGAGGGGCCCAGGGACTCCCTGGCCCCTTGTGCTTTGGGTCTTTTTGTGCAAACCTGCCATCCTCTGATTCGTCCCATGTTTGCTTCTTGTCCTCCTGCTTGCTCCTGGGTGCTGTCACGGCACAGGTGGCTGTCGTGCACCTGGAGGGAGGCAATGTGGAAATGATAAGGTTTCAGGTAGATTGTAAACTACATTGTTAAATAAGATATGGTATCTAAATACATTTCATCTATTTTCTTTTTTCAAAACATTTCTTTGAGATGTGAATCTCGCTATGATGTCCAGGCTGGTCTCAAATTTGTGGCTCAAGCAATCCTCCCACCTCAGCTTCCCAAGTAGCCGGGCCCCTGAAAATGTATGATGTCCCCCCCACCCTCTGCCCCAGCTGGGGACTGAGCCAAGGCATTGTGCAGGGCAGGAACAGGCGCTAGTGCTGCCGTCCTCCAGCTGGAAAATTTTTATTTTGTAAAAATTTTTTTCAAAAATTAAATATTTGAAAATCACATTTGTAGTTTGAGGGACAGGATTTCAGGAGTACTGTGGACCAAGGACCCCATCTTCAGGGAATTAGCTGTCTCACCTGAAAGGTCAGCACCAGGTGATGGGACTCGACAGGAAACAAGCTGAGATCATTAATAAATGAGAGGCAGGTTGTGGCCGGGTGCCTGAGAGCCAACCCCTGAGCCACATGGTCCTGCACGAAGGAGCTCCGTTGAGCACTGGAGTTGGGCAGTGAGCAAGTCCCAGCACCTGTCCTCCTGGAGGTGGAGACGGTGTTCAAGGGCCATGGTGAAGGAGCAGGAGCCTGGCTTCCTTCTTTCCCTTGTTATTCCCTCCAAGCTGCAAGCTGATTGGTCGGTGCCACCCACACCCAGGGCAGGGTCTCCCTCGTCAGTGAGCCCATCATCCGCACCCAGAACTGGGTTCCTTTACTCAAGTGGACACTGCAGTCAACCATCACGTGTGGCTAAGTAGGGGAATAGCCTTAATTTTAGGAGCTGTAGGATGGAGATCTTAGATGAGGTGTTGTAAGGTCTGCAGCATAGCTTCAAAAGGCCCTGCAAAAACAATATATTAGCCAGGGGTGGGGGTGAAGGCCTATAATCCCAGCACTCAGGAGGCTGAAGCAGGAGGATCGCCGTGGCTGGGCAGAGCTACATAGTAAGTTTAAGGCCAGCCTGAACCATATATATATATATATAGTGAGACCCTGGCTCAACAACCCCCCAAATCCCATCCAAACAAAAAAGCCATGTATCTTTGCATGCTTCTGGTATTTGTGACATATTTACGGCTAAATACTGATGTTGCACTGGGGAAGCTGAGGCAGGAGGACTGCTGTGAGTTGAAGGCCAGCCTGTGCTACACAGTGAAACTCTGCCTCAAAAAACCAAAACTAAACAGACAAAGGAAAAACACGAATTGTCTGTTAAAAAGAAAACAAAAAAATAATGAAGGTGCTAGCTTTCTCTTGGGTATTTTTTTCTCTTTCTTTTTTTTTTAGTTAGTAATTTTTATTTGTAGATATTTGCAGTACATGATTGCATTCAGTGTAGTGAGTCAGTCCAAGTACATAACACATCTCTGTAGGGGACAGGGGAAGGGGACGTTACCAGAACCTCTGCAGTGAGTCCTGGTCTCCTGCGAGCCACGGCAGCACACGGCGAATTATAGGAAAGGTAGAAAAAAAAAGACTGAGAAGAAGCTGAGCTCTGGGTCTGATCAGTGCTGCTCTGGGCGGCAAAGACAAAAGCCCCCAGTTTACCACACCTTTTATGCAGTACATCGGGAGAAACAAATGTAACAAATGACTTGCAGAGAGTTCAACAGTTCACATTGGGATAAACAAGGTGTAACGGAAGGCTTGCAGAGAGTTCAGTACATCTCCGGCAAACAAGATGTTAATCAGTCCAAGAACAATG